TCAAAAGTTATTCAATATTAAATATTATATATAATTTTAATTATACATTTTAATAAACATGAAATCTGATTGGCTAGTAGATAAGAGGTGGGGTGGGTTTGAATGATTTATTAGTAAACCCTAATCAGCTAATTTCTGGAAGCTCCCTTAATATATACTAGTAACTTATAGTCTTTTGTTTTAAATTGAAAAATAGGCTATTAGATAATTAATATTATATAATTTTATTAATAATGCTAGTTATTATAATATATACTACTAATAGATATAATAACAACTACTTAATACAAAAATGTCTTTTTCAATTGTTTTTCTATTTGTTTTTGCTAACTTTTTTTTTTTAAATTTTGTCTTTGCCAAAACACGAAATAAATTCAAATGGTAATTGTATTATAACAAAATTACGATTCAAGCAACTTTACTTGATATATCAGTTAGTAGATTTATTAATAAAATTCACTAAAATTTGTTGATTTTCGAGCATAATTAATTAAGCTCAGAAGCTTAAATTATATGAAATAGTAAAATTTTTTGAACATCACTAATCTACTATCATTTTTAGAGAAATTCTATTTTGACCCGGATCAATATAACCTTCAGCAAAATTTTAGAGTTAGTGCAGGCCAGAATTGTGTTGATGCCAGCCAGGGTTTTGTTAATATAAAAACCCGGGTCAAAATAGAATTTAGGTTACAGCGAACATAACTTACGTAGTAATGATACATTTGACGTGACGACACGTTAGGGTTGTGCCTCAACTAATTAAATCTAGGTTAATATATGAAGATCGGATTTTTTAGAGGCCGTAGATAAATTTACATTTTTTTTAGCACAAGTACGTACCTAACAAAAGTACATATAATTTTTTTTAACTAGCTCTACATGGTAATAGAGCTATATAGTTTTTAAAATTTTTGTAAAAATTAATTAAATAATTATAATTTAAAATTTATATATATAATAGTAAAATGAATTTCAAATTAAAAAAATATTATATGCACTTTTATCAGTATAAATCGTTGAAAAAAATTGATCATTGAATAATTTATAAATCCGACACGTCAATTGGACGTAACCATACGTCTTCAAATGCCTGCATCTATATTCACATCTAATTAGGTCAAGGCACTATCCTGGATTAGTAATCTCGTTATTAATTAGCAAACACAAAAAATCTCAGAAACAAAATATGTACAATAAGTTACCGGAAATCACGTGGCGCAGTAAAATAAAGAGTGGACCTTTAATACTAATTCGTCTCTTAATTAGTACGTACGCAATCAATTTCCTATATAAATATCAGCTGCCTCTTTCGTAGATATTTTCTATATTAATCATGCGTGGCAAAGAGCTAACATATGAACAACGTGAGCAAATAATTGGTGACTATCTTGCGGGTTTGAATGGATTAAGAATTTCTACGGTGCTAGCAATTTCTCGCTCAACAGTATATGTTACGATAGATCTGTATAAAAAACTGGTTCTCCACATCCAAAAAAGCGTTCTGGTCGTCCAAAAGTACTTTCATCCCGTAATTTGCGTATGTTGAAAAGAATTGTCTTAAAAATAGATTTTCGTCTCTGATTAGCATTACGGGTAAATTTAACCAGACCTTTTTGTCGAATTACCACCCGAATACCATTAGTAATTATCTTCATAATCTTGGCCTATTAACCTATAAACAACGCATTGGTCGATATAATTGGTGTAAAGCAAAACTTACCTGGAAAGAAGAATGGAAACAAATCGTGTGGTCCGACGAGTCTAGATTTACTTTATTTAAGTCGGATGGACGAATAAAAGTATATAATATAAATTTTATTAAACCTATTGTCAAATATAATGGAGGATCCATAATGTTTTGGGGGTATTTTAGTTGGTACGGGATTGGGCCGTTAGTAGTCGTTGATGAAACGATGAATTCGGACATTTATGTTAAATTTCTTGCACAGCATTTAGTACCATGGATTCGTGACAATCCAAACTTGATATTTCAACATCGTGTCATAAATCAGATTGTACACTGGTGGCTAAAATCGCATGACATTCCGGTTTTAGATTGGGTCTCTCAAAGTTCGGATTTAAATCCAGTCGAGAACCTGTGGGACTATGTTGATTGTCAAGTTCGAAAAAGGAGACCTTTACCAAGTTCGCATAAAGAATTAATTAAGGCTGTGCAAGAAGAGTGGGCAAATATATCTATAGAAACTTTAAGTAGTTTAATCTTAAGCATGCACGAACGAGTTAAAGCCGTCTATAAAAATAAAGGTCGACATGTATGCTATATATTAGTTTGTTTTTTTTTTAATTTAATAAAGATAAATTCCGATTTATTGGATTTATTTTAATTTGTAAAATTTTTTAATAAAAACAAATTTGAAAATTGGCGACTAGTATTACCACGTGACCAATTTCCAGTAGGAGTGTGTACCTAATTTTAACTTGTTCCACCAAGATTTTCTTTATGCATCTCCAAATATCTCACCAAACTTTGCGGATTTTTGTTAAGTATTTCTACAACCCTTGCTGCCTGTGCACTCAATACACCCACAATTTCAGCTTGTAATTGTTTCTTATTTGGTAGTTTAGCCATCCGTTCGATATCTTCCACATTTAACAACGAAGAATCCATTTTACCACCCATTAATAGCAATTTTTTTTGTTTGTTAATAATATTCAAAATGTCTGAAACCAATTTAGGATTTTCCTCCTCAGAAATATTCGAAGAGATAATAGCAGTAGGTCCCACAATTAATGGTGATAAATTTTGATAAATTACAGTCTGTCTTATAACAGCGTTTAGGACTGATCCTCGAATCATTGTTATATCGGCCCCCGTGTATTTTAGATCCCGGCGAATTATAATTTGCTCTTGAACATTTAAATTATTATGTTGAACTATGAAGAATAAACGATTGGAATGAAGTTGCTCGTAGTATAAATTAAAAAGATATATCGTGTGAAGTGGAAAATCGTTTCCGTATTTTGTTTTTGATTGTTGAGGTGCACGTGGTGGGGGTATATTTTTTGATCTTGGCGATGATGGTGGTCTCATTTGTGTCTTTGTTGAATCTTTTTTTAAATTCATGGTATTGCATAATTTTATAAACATGAGAATAATTATTTTGATATGAATTTAAATCTTATCTATTGACATAAGTTGAAATAAGTAAAATAAATAATACATCTTTGAGCCTTCAACACAACTATAGTTCTGTTTTTAGCCGTACAGTATAAATCTTTAAATATTTAACAGATAATTTTAGTAAATTATTACATTGTGCTATTAAAATTAAAAAGATATTGAATAACTAAATATACTTCTCATTGAGATGAATCTTTGCATGACGTTTTCTGAAGAGAAAGAAATTTTTAATTGGACATTCGGAATACCGATTCTTCTAAAAAAAAAAAAAAAAAAAAAAACTTGCCTAAATCAGGCTACAAACAATGAACGATAGCCAACCATTTCCTTTCAGCTACACATGTGACAGCTTATAACAATACCCAATGGATTTAATGAAATTTTGTATTGCCAGGTTTGGTTAAACACATATCGCTATATAAAAATCAAGTCAGACGACCTGCTAACATCCTTACTGCCCCAATACCCATTTCAAGTTATTTTCGCTCAGTAAATCTGTGATATAATAAAATGTCTACAGAGTCAGATCGCTCAGAAGCTCGCAATGGGCAACCTCAAAACCACCTAAATTCCAATGAAGATATAAGTGGCACCGGAATAATAGAAGAAATAAGCTCAGCTCCACCAACTTATGAGGAAGCCGTAACAACTCGAGATTTAGAGGACAATATACCGTCTACTTCTTTCTCATTCTCTCGCTCAGCTGCTGCTAATTTACATGCTATAGAAGAAATGTTTTCTTCGAATCATTCAACTAGTGAACGACATCCCTTACTTAGCAATAAAAACAATGGTCCCTATAACTTATTTGGGAGGCCATATGGTGGCTCAATGAATCAGTCCACTTCGTCTAATCAATATATGACGTTCCCTTTACCACGCGAATCATATACAAACAATTACGAATTTGTTTATGAAGTATCACAAGGTGGTGTTGTATCGTGTGATCCACAATTAAGCAGAGACTCTGATTCATTATACAGATTTTTTAACGAGCATAATGACAAACCTGAAATGGCTATTATAATTTATGGTAATGCTTTAATAATATTAATTCCTACATAAATCTGAGTGGGGTAATAAGCAAAGTATCATACAGTAAAACCTCTATAAATGCATGCTCTTGGGACCAAACTTTACAACGTGCACTTAGAGAACAATAAGAAAAAGTGCATTTATGGAGGTTATCTATATAGTTGG